GGACTGTATGTTGATTTAAACCCAGGTTTATACTGGTACAAATCCAAGGCTTTAAGCAATGCCTTGGCAAACAAATCCAATGTAAATACATATATGTATATATACGTACATACAGGCATATTTGGACTGCAGATAAACTGATATTTGATTATAACAATTTCTTCTCTAAGTTATCAAGAGATTATTACACTTACTGAGATCATCTTAGTATCTCCTCTGACTTGCAGAGGAAGGGAGAGGCTTGCGCGTCCTCATACTTCAGAAAAATAGATTAAGCATCCACTTGATGGAAATGAAATTAATCAATACTACTGATAAATGTAGGCATGCAGTGCTGGACAATGTCATCATTGAAATTTGCTAAATCAACTGTATGCCCAATTGTCAAATTTAGGAAAAAAATATATTAGCTGTTGGAGGAAAAGAGATGCAATTTAAAACATGAAGCTATTTTGTGAAAATTATCTGGATATTTTCTAGTCGCTGTTCTGTGGTTACATTACGTCACCCATAAAGTCTCTTTTAAGCTTATTGTCTTTTAAGAAATTGAATTTCTCCCTAATAATAATAATAATAATAATAATAATAATAATAATAATAATAATAATAATAATAATAATAATAATAATAATAATAATAATAATAATAAAGTTGTAAGGGACCTTGGAGGTCATCTAGTCCAACCCCCTGCTCAGGAAGAAAACCCTATACCATTTCGGACAAATGGCTGTCCAGTCTCTTCTTAAAAACTTCCAGTGTTGGAGCATTCACCGCTTCTGGAGGCAGGTTGTTCCGCTGGTTAATTGTTCTAACTGTCAGGAAGTTTCTCCTTAGTTCTAGGTTGCTTCTCTCCTTGATTAGTTTCCACCCGTTGCTTCTTGTCCTGCCTTCAGGCACTTTGGAAAATAGCTTGACTCCCTCTTCTTTGTGGCAGCCGCTGAGATACTGGAAGACTGCTATCATGTCCCCCCTCGTCCTTCTCTTTGTTAAACTAGACATACCCAATTCCAGCAACCGTTCCTTATATGTTTTAGCCTCCAGTCCCCTAATCATCTTTGTTGCTCTTCTCTGTACTCTTTCTAGAGTCTCAACATCTTTTTTACATTGTGGTGACCAAAACTGGATGCAGTATTCCAAGTGTGGCCTTACCCAGGCATTGTAAAGTGGTATTAACACTTCACGTGATCTTGATTCTATCCCTCTGTTAATGCAGCCTAGCATTAATGCAGCCTATAGCTCTTTTAATTTGCTGTGCTGGCAGTGCTGTTTTCAGCAAGGGGATTGTATGGTAGCAAGCTTTATGTCACCACTATTATGCCTTACAGGCCTTGATTCAGAGAATAGACACATTTGGTCTTGGGCAGAAGTGAGGCATGACAGCATCACCATCTCAGAGATATAGACAAGGTGGCTGAAAGATAAGTAAATACGGTTTTTGTGATTGCAACAGCTGATGTCTACATCCTGGGGAATTTTTATCTTGCTTTTTTTACTTTAATTCTGTCAGAGATTTATTTGTTTGTTTGTTTCTTCAATTTCTATGGCTACCCGTCTCAATCACTGTCTCTAGGTGGCTTACTAAGTAAATGTTTCCTCCTAATTAAATAAAAAACAGAAGCATCTCAGTTCTCTTGTCCTCATAACGTCATTTTAAAACCTTTACTGGAGGAAACAGAGGTGGCGAAATTCTCCAATTTTATGTTAAGAATCAGGTTTCAACTTAACAGGCATTTTCTAACAAGAAACCATTTAATAAACAATATTAATAAACAGTATTTATTCTCTCAGGGTGCTTTGTGGTCTCTCTAGTATATGTCAAGCAATTTCCAATCTATTCCTATATTCCCTGTCACCTATTCCTTGTCAAGCAAGTTATCATCGCTGTAGCACACATCTTGACATAAAGAGGAAGAAAAATCGAACCAAAACTTTAATCACACCACTTTAGTTTTGACAAAGGTATTCCGTAGCTCTGCCAACTTTGAGGCAAGTTATGGATTGGTGTCCTTCTGACTACAAAACTGACCTGCAGCAACCAACCCATTTTTCTCCCAATGTTCCAATGGTGTGATACTTTCTTTGCCTCCATGCTCCACCCGTCATTTTGTCCCCCACCCTGAGCAGGAAGTACTCTATTTCCTTTTAATATTTAGGAGATCCCACTAGGTTTTACCTATGTTCACTATCTTCATTTCTCTAAAGAGCCATTAGAATATAGAGGTGCCCTGGAGAAATGAAGTTGAAGGATTTGGTTAGTAACTTTGTGGCAGGCACTATGCTATGCCTGCTTGGACTACATTTTAAAAAAGGGAGGGGGATATTTGCACAGTGATAGGTATAGCCTGGAAAGCAATGAGGTAAGGTAGAGTCTTGTAGTCTTTTTATGGCTTCTTAATAATGATAATGCTTTTTAGGTATCTATTGACTGTTTAGCTTTGTTGTATGTCACCAGAGTTGTTTGTTTGGTGACATGGACAGCTATATAAATTGGATAAACAAATAAAGTGGATAAATCAATAGAAAACCCATACGCCCTGGAGCACACAATAAGGTACAACTCTTCCACCCTTGATACCCAAGAGTACAAATTTCATGCATAAGACTAGGCCAGTTCAATTCATCCTTACTTCAGAATCCATCCATTTCACAGAAGTACAATACTCATGTGTCTAGTTCATTCATATGCAACATATAATCAAGCAGCCGATCACAAAGAACTTTGATAATCTGGTCATTGTGATCAGTAGAGAGTCTTATCCCACCAACATCTAAAGCAGACGTGGCAGCAACGTCAGAGAAGACAAGAAAGGAATGCCCTAGTTCAGGGGTCTTCAAACTTGACCCTTTTATGACTTGCAAACTTCAACTCCCAGAATTCCTCAGCCAGGCACGCGTGCCTGGCTGAGGAATTCTGGGAGTTGAAGTCCGCAAGTCATAAAAGGGCCAAGTTTGAAGACCCCTGCCCTAGTTAATTAGGCCTGTCTTCCTTCTCTAAAATATATAGTTGCAGCTTCTGAGGGGGCATTTTAGGGGCAGAAGGCTTTTTACCCTGTCAAAAAGGGAGAGCTTTAACTGACCCTCCCCCCAAGTTGTTCAAGTTGTTATCTTCTGATTTAACTTTCTATTTTGTTGATTGCCTTGTTGATTAATATGGCAATTTCATTTTTAAATTTTGTTATAGTGGTATGTTTTTTTATCGGAAAGGTATGATATAGACATTTTAATAAAGTAACCAATGGATTACTATATGGGCCAAGCAAAACTAAAAGTGGTTTAGTGTGCCTCATGAGATGACATCTCTACGGGCTCAGAGCACCCCTGCTTCACCTTGTAGAACTAGTTTAGTTTTAAATTACTTAAGGGGAAGACTTTTTCCTATCATTTTGCATCTGAGTGGGCAACCTGTGCTGCATGCAGATGCCCAGGACTTGTAGGGGAATGTGTGGGTGACCTTGGGAAAAGAGGGGAAGAGATGCTGTCTAGGAAATCATCAGACAAGAAAGGCAGGAGTTCCCAGTGGCTTAATGGTGAGAGGAAGAAACTTAGGAAAGTTCTTCCCTAATGGATTAAACAGTTAAAGGTGGTGAAGGAAATGTTGTGCCTTCAGACTTGCAACATTCCGCTAATGTAGCCTTACAATAAACAACAACTTTATTGTCACTTTGAATGTACACCAATCGGCATACATCAAAATGAAATTTCGTTGCATACAGCTCTCAAAGGGTCAGCACCTCTGATATACACTCCTTGTTCATGGCCAGCTCAAGTTTCAGATTGTCCATTTTAGTCTCTAGGGAACAAACGATGGCAAACAGGACAGATGGAAACGGAGCTCCATGTGGATTAGCCCTCAAATTAGCTTGTATTCCTGCACGACAATCTCACCTCCTTTCCTTTTTATGTTCCTGTCTCTTCCACCTTTTCCTTAAAGAGGCCTTGCTTCTTTTCGCCACTGGAGCATGCTGCCACCACCACCAACCCCTTCAAAAGTCTCTCTCTCTTCCTCTGGGCTGCCGACAGCCTCATCCAGTTCCTTCGCTCCATAAGCCTCGGGACCTCTCCTCCTCTGCCTCCTTTGGAAACAGCCCTTATTTGCAATAGAATCCGTCACTGGGCCAGCAGTCAGATCTTGCTGCTGGCAGAACAATTTCAAACAGTGCCAACGACTTTTAAAGGTCTCGCCAACAGTTCCGAAACAGCTAGAAACTCACCATGTCAGCAAAGATTGTCAGTCGTATGTTACCTTAGTTCCACCACATTGCTCAAACACATTAAAACCTTCCCAATCGTGTGGCCTATATACTTTATATCCCTCCAAAAGCTTTTCACCTTCGAAAGCCGGTGCAACCGCAGCCGATCCAGGTGCCACCATCTTAGAACTAATTAATTAATTCCTCTAGTCCTGTTTCCTGTCCGGTTACCTGGGAGAACTGACAGAACCTCACTGGAAGCCCATTAAACACTTTGAGATTGTGCTGCAAAAATCTGGCAACAAAGGAGCAATTGTTCCACAGACATTACTTTGTACCATTCCAAAGACAGTTATGAGAATGCAGGACATAACACATGTCTGCAGCTAGCTAATTGAGACTGAACTTGGCTAGTATTTGGAAGAGAGATCATCAAGGTATGTAAGGATTACAAGCAAGACTGGGAAGAGGTGGGGGGAACCTGGAACAAGGCAGCTGCAAATTACCTCCAT